CAGAGAAGAGGTTTCCGCAGATGTTACAAATAGGCCTGTGTTTGTCCTGCAAAGGTTTCACTTCCTCTTCTCCTGCCCAGTCCTCGTTGTCATTGCCAAATTCGTCATCCTCTTCGTCGTCTTCATCTTCGTCATTACTAGCTTGGCTTTCTTTCAGCTTTCTACTCAAGCTTCTCTTTCTGGTGCTGGCGCGGATTTTCTTCGCAGCACTTGACTCTGAATCTTCTGTACCTTGAGATGAGCCTTCTTCAGTGTGTTTCTCAAAGTCTTGGTTTGCTTCTTCACCAGCTTCTTCTCCACTGTTCTCTATTAGATTTGAAGATTCGGGTGTCTCAGAAGAAAGGGGCTTAGAACGAGGTCTTCCTCTTTTACGACCGGTCCCTTCGTTGTCTTTTGTTTTTGCAGTTTCTGTGCCGTCTTCTGTGTTTGTAGTTGCGGTCTCAGCATTTGTAGTTTGGTTCTCAGTGGATAACGGCTTAGTCCGTGGTCTTCCTCTCCCTCGTTTGGAAGCCGCAGCTTCACCAGGGTTCTCTGTATCAGTCTTTTCCTTACCGTCATCTTCCTCACCAGCATTCACAGCATCCTCTTCAACAACCTCTGTTTCTTGGGTGTCTCCTTGTTCTTCGTCTCCTTCTGCTTCAGATGGTAAGGGTCTAATACGTGGACGTCCTCTTTTGCGGGTAGAGCTCTCCCCTTCTTGATCTTTGTTTGCTACAGAATCGTCTTCAGCGTTACCAGAATCATCTCTATCAGTGGACAAAGGCCTAATCCGCGGGCGACCTCTCGGTCTTCCGGATCCTCTCCCTACAGAGCTGCTATTTGGATTCATGCTTTGCTGTGCTGGTGATTGATCAGTTGAATCGAAACTCAATGGCCTCACCCGTGGGCGACCTCTCGGTCTCCCCCGACCTCTTCCTCTGCCTCTTTGAGCAGCAATGGCCTCCCTCTCAACATCCTCCTCATACAACCTGGTTTTGGGTTTCCTCCCTCTCTTGCCGATTCTCTGGGGAGTTTGTTCGCTGGACGACTGGGCTTCATCCGTAGAGGCGGGATCATCCTGAGACCCATCTTCTTTCTCTCCCCTCAACCACATCCGTTCCTCCACCTGTGAGATCGGCTCTAAAGGTTCATAGTCATCTGGGCTCAGGGGGGAATGTGGATCTTCATACTGCATTTGTCTTGCGGGCGAGCCACCAGTTTTGAGATCATCTTGGGATAGGGTACAGCGAGCCACAACCTCGGGCATACCAAGATAAGATGCAGCTTTTTGAACACTTTCAATTTCTTCCCTGTAGACAACAAAGCACAACAAAAATGCAATCTTGCTATCTTTCTCTCTTTATATATATATACAGTATATTAGTCCTGGGCAACGATTAAAATGAAAGTTTGTGTTTACATAATATATATGTGTGTACTGTGTATAATTATTTCATATATATATATATATATATATATATATATATATATATATATATATATATACACACATATGCATGTATATATTTAAGAAATATTTGCATTTATATACTGTATATATATTTATATTATAAATATTTTATATATAAATAACCCATTTCTCTTAAGTATATACATGCATATGTGTGTATTTAAATGTACAAAATAATTATACACAGTGCACACACATATATTATGTAAACACAAACTTTTATGTTGGATGCCCAGCACTATATATACATAAAATTTTAAAAGTCGAAAAGAAATTTCAGTAATGAATATGAATTTTTTTATTTTACTCTGCTATAAAATATTTCATTGGCTAACTATATATATATGTACAGAGGTAAAGATTTAGCCGATATAATATTTAGCATAAAATTATATATTATAATAAAGAAATTACAATTAGATTACTTTTTGAGACCTTAAAATTATGCTAAAAAATATTACATTTAAAAAAAATTCAAGTTTTCTATGTCAGTAGGAAGACTATATAGATGAAGAATAAGATTCCCATGAACTCACCCGTCCATATTCAATTCCCCGGTGTAAATATATGTCAGTAGTTTTTCAAACACAGCACTGCTCATTGACTCTGGGTCCAAAGTTATGGTGGCATCCTCTCTTCCAGCATCAATAGACTGTGTGGAGAAATACTCACTAAAGGCTGCCAGAACATTGTGGTGGGCTTGATACTGAGCCTGTCCTATTGCTACTGTGCAGTCACACAGAAAGCTTCTCTCACGTTGCCTCTTAAGCTGCTCCAGAAGAAACTCACTGTGAGTGATATGTGGCATGACGTGTGAGACTGCCAACCTGCAATGTCAAGAGCATCTTATAATATCAGCCACAATTAAACTTCTTAAAGAGAAAGTCTGTCATTATTCACTTGCATTGCATCTTTTTTACCATATAATAAAAGTGGTGAATTCTGCCAAGTAATAAAGGTTTGGAACAAACATGAGGATGAATAAATTATTACATAATTTTGGGTGAACTAGACCTATAGACCTATGATGCAATTTTATATGTAATCGTTTTGTAAGCAATAAACAAAACTAAAATAATTCACTTACCTCACGTAAATTTATGATGGTTTAAACCACACCCAAAAACCTGTTTAAATGAAACACACATGCATGTAAAAAAAATAAAGAACATGTGCATATATAAAATAACATATAACGCTAAATAAAATTAGCGATTGTTCAAACTTTACATCATCAGTTAGGGAAAATAAAAGTTCCCGCCCATTGCTCAAAAGTTGGCTGAAATAACCAGCTTGATAACAAACTATCATTGTTAAAAGACTACTCATAATATTAGAATGCACCCAATAATTGTAGTTGTAAATATGCATTAAAAATAGCTAAATGCATTAGTTACGGGATAAATGCAGAGACGAATGTTTGTAATTTTGACATGCAAAACAAAGGGCTCTTATTTCGAAAATGCTCGATCCGGTAACGTTAGAGCGCGAGCCTCAATTCACAGGTTCGGTCTATGTATAACAAACGCAAAACAGAGACGTGCAATAATTATTTAAATTATGTGATTATTAAATATAAAGTTGAATTCGATTTTTTAATAACAATTCAGGTCTCACGTTATTTCGACAGTAGATTAAAATCTCTTTGCTTTGACGGCCATTTTCGAGGTCTTCAAGGGGATTGGTCGGTGACGTCATATCCTCCTGTCTGAATTCTTTCCGGTGTTTGAAGTTGAACCAAAAAAAGAAGAAGAAAAACAGCTGTAACCGTTAGATGGAGCCAAAGAGACACAGCAGGCACATGAATGGACCACTGGTGCATTCAAGGAGAAAAGCAAATAATTAATTGTAGCCTACTTCAATTTTTACTCAAGTTCTTTTGAAACGGCATACTTTTATTTAATTACAATTCCAAGACAAAAAGCTTTTCTCTTTTTGCTCCATTATACTGGGCTTACAAGCCTAATTTTACAGGTAATTGCATTCATTTCGGTATCTAATCGTCCTTGCTCATCAGTCTGTCGGAATATTAGATTTCAAAATTGTTAAGTTAATTATTCATGTATTATTTCAGGTAAACCTTCATAAATGTTGATGGTCGATGAGGAATGGTCTTTATTTCCTACTGGACCCTTTCAACAGATTTTAGTTAAAAAAAAAAATACTTTAAAAAATAAAGGTTCCGAAAAGGGGGTTTCACAGCAGTGTATTAGAAGAACCATTTTGGGTTCTCCAAAGAACCCCCTTTTCTGTGTGATGAACATTTTAATAATCTAAAGAACCACAATAAAGAACCTTTTGTAGAATGGAAAGATTTTGTGAATGAAAAATGTTCTTCACCAGATAACATGTTAACCCGGGGATTTAAGATTTTAACACAAGGTTTTGTGAAAAGACCTTTTGTAAATTTGCTATTGATTTTGATCAAGCAATTAACCAGCACTGGCATTTACATCACCACGGTGACATTGAACCAAAAAAGGTGAAGATATAATATACTTTTTCTATCTAACTTATATAACATTATTAGTAATATTTGTTTTGTAATAATACTTTACAGCCTACCATATGGTTCAAACAGGTTATGCCACTTGCATTTGTTCATCACGAGCAGTGGAGCACTGTAAAAAAATTGCTGTAATTATGCAGCTGTTTGGCAGTATAGCTACTGTAGATTTAAATTGATGTATATTTACTGGCAACAGTTGGTTCAAAGTTAAATGAACATTAAACATTAACAAGTCTTTGTCTTTACAGAATAAAATTATAAAATAACAATCTAATGCAAAGCATTCTGGGAACCAGAAATCTTCATCAACCTTTTTCTGTTTTTTTCCTTCAGATTTTGGTTCCCAGAATGCTTTGCATGAGGCTGTTATTTTAGTTTTATTCTGTAAAGATAAAGACTTGTTAATGTTTAATGTTCATTTAACTTTGAACAAACTGTTGCCAGTAAATAACATCAATTTAAAAGTACAGTAATGCTGCGTTCCAGGCAACCTGTAACCCGTGTTTTTTCAACTCGTAACTGGGAGTACATCGATCTAGTACGAGTTTACGGGTGGGAAGTCACGGGTTTGACTGCCGTTCCAGTGCACTTTCACGGGTATAAGGTTGGAAAAACACGGGTTACAGGTTGCCTGGAACGCGGCATAAGTTACTGGGAACCAGCTGCCAGTAATACTGTAATTTCTACAGATTTTTTTTACAGTGAGGATTCAAGAATTACATAATTTAATGTCTACAGCCCTTGGGAAAGTTTGATTGTCAGTTTTATGAATGAATAAGGGACTGAAACTGCTGAAATAATCTTGATAAATAATTAACTATGGTCACCTGATCCACATTAGTATAGCCTATAAACCATTCTGTCATTGTTTGAATAGGAAAGGTTTATGTAAAAATGACAAAATCAAGAGACACAAAGAGTACACCTTGTCTCTGCAGTACTACACCCATGATATCTATTTACATAATCAGCTGCTTCTTGTTACAACACAATCTCAGTCTGTTATGAGCGCCTCCTCCTCTCTTATCAGCACACGTTAGTGTTCCAGCGCACACTCAACACCTTCAGCTCTGTGCTTAACAACATCTTCCTCTGAGACAGGTATCCATTTACTTTGCATTGTTATTATGCCTGTTTTGTGATTATTTTTTTTACTGTATAATAATATTTTATCATAATTCTTTACATTTAATTTTTTTCTGTCTATACTTGTATTGTTCTGTGTATTGTGAACCTGTGTTTGGTAAATATTTTTTTAGGGCTACCGCCATAAAAAAAAGAAAAAAGAAAAAGCTAAATTAAACAGTAGGCCTATTGATTTTCAACAAACTGAATTTATATGATTTAATCTAGCCCGTTTAACAAAAGCATTACAGTAAAATGTAGGCATATATTCCTCAGTAATTTAATCAATAAGTGATAGCTATTCAAAAAATTTCGTAACCACAGAGTTTTATATAAGATTACTGCACGTGTACGCCACTGATTTGTGTTTTTGCAAACGGGTCCAGCAGGTTTGACAGCTTTAGAAAAGTAAACATGCCCTTCAAAACAAAAGGCGTCTAAAATCTCCACACATGCTAGCCTAACGTACATTTCTCAGGTTCACACGGAGAAGGTTCAAAATCACCATAAAGTGCCTTTGAGACTTCAAAATTTCCACAAAAAAATCAGAGATTTTCCATTTAACTTTATATGTGTTGTATTAAGGAGACCTTAGGCTGTTAGAAATGCATTTGGTCAAGCTCCAGCAGTTTTTATGAATTAGCTGCAAGCTGACAATATACGAGCAAACCATAAAATATGTCCACCCTGTCATGGACAAATTCAAAGTAGAATATATACATTTTCATTGCATAGTGATTATAAAATGTAGATCTACAGAAAGATAATGTGTCCCTTTCCCAACACAACATTTAACTTAATGGTAAAAGTCTTTTGATAATAATGAAGTTACTGCCTAAATATGTATTGCCCAATATAATATGCGATAGTTGCACATTCTTTTCTAAATAAAATCTAAAAACAAAGATATTCAGTCAAACTTTAAAACAATACTAACTGGGCCTCATTTGTTTATTAAGAAATCACACACTGGTTTTGTTAACTTGTTAAAATAATTTGTTTATTTTCAAAAAAGTTGAACATGACAGGGTGGACAACAAGTTGACAGGGTGGAACTTGGCATGACAGGGTGGACAAATGCTCTAATGTTCTAACCTGGAGGGGCCTGGCTCAGGCTGATTTTCAGGAGCTTCAGGAATATTAGGAGAGTTTGGTGGTGTCTCTGACTGTAAAGCACTGGCTCTGGCCCTGGCTTGCCTTTTTGTTTTATCTTTTTGCCCTTTTCTCTCTCTCTCACTTAGCTCATTAATACCCTTCTTCTTTCCAGTCTCTCTGTCTTTTCCCCCCTCTTTCTCAAGGTACTTTCTTCTTCTTTCTGGGTCAGCATCACGACATTCCCTATATCGCCTTGCTATTAGGCTCATTCCTGGTAAAGAAATATATATTTCAAAATAATTCAAAACGTTCTCTTACAAATTCCCCTTTAATTGGTCCAGCTAAACTAGGCTTGGCTTATTTATTTACATTGTTAGGGCTGTATTTTTTTTTTAAAACAGTCAATGAAATCCATGTCAATCTTTTATTACATAGGAACAAAGGTTTGTAAACTATCATCAAATTATCGTCATCATCAAAACACCTGCTGATAGTGATATTGGAAAAAAAGTCCACGTCCACTCATGTATAGAATCTACTGTTCTAATAATATGTGTTTTTAACTGTTCTAATATGTGGGGGGAAAAAATCAAAATGTGGCGAAAACTGCAAATGTCCTCCTTATCATGAACCATGTCCACCCTGTCATGGAAGGCTTGGTGACAGGGTGGACAGTGACATTTTTTTGGCTAAAGTTAGCATTTAATGAGCACATGGTGTACAGCAGTTAGCAAAGTGATTCACTGTTGAAAGCTGACTGTGCACTGTTTAAAATGTATATTTTGAATATCTGAAAAGTTTTTATATTAATTAATATTTCACAATGACAGGGTGGACATGTTAAGCTTGACAACACGCAACTACAAACACAATATGATGAAAATTAGGAAATATAAGTGTAGATACTTACTGTGTGTGCAGCAGAGGTTTTAAGCTCCACTAAAGAAAGACCAAATGGGGGAGGGGATGTCACTGAGTACATTAATTTCTTAAAGGGGCGTTTATACCCCATAATGACAGGGTGGACAGCAATTTCGGGGACACATGCAAAATGCTTAATATTATTATGAAAATAAAATATAAGCAATCAAAATGGCTTATTTTATTAAATAATTTGCAGAGGACAATAAGAACATTAAAAAAAGATTTTAATTTTATGTAATTTAACCACTTTTTACACTCACTGAAGTTAGCTGATCAGCGTGTGGGACATAAAATCACAGACATCTAATCAAAGAAAATGGAATAAAATCAGAAAAACACATTTCAAGAGACTTATCATTGTACTTGTATATGCGTAAGTGTTTGGCCATTTATAATAAAACCTCAGAATTTCATTATTTTGCATCATGTTCATGATGACTGAGCAATTCTGATGAGGACACCAAAGGCACTTTATAGTGATATATTGATTCAGAAACGCGAGACGTAGTGCAGCGAAATCTCCAGGTGCGACTTTAAAAGAATTTCTGTTAACTTGAAATGCCAATTTAAAAACGCGGGGAACGGGCGAGACACCAGGAGAAACAACGATAAGCGAGTTTTTTCCCCTTCTTTTTCCCCAAATGCAAGTTGTTTTACACTCCGTCGCAGTAGAACGCCCGACGCGTGTTGTTAACCAGTGTTATACCGAAATCTGTGACCCACTGGTACACATAGCTAATGTAGTGATAGGGTTGGGAATTGTGATTAGGCCTATGGCTGCGCCTACTACGGTGGGTCACAGAACACCGGCCCTTATTGTAATTAGACAATAGCATGTTCGTTGTGTATTTTCCAACAAGCCATTGTGCAGAAATCATACAAATATCCCTTTAACACTGTCATTGTCACAACATGAAATGACTAATGCAATTGAGCTCATGACTCCATAACTTTCTCGTCACAGCTGAGATAGCAGTTCTTGACATGATGAAGGCCGTGATTGTGTTGCTCATTCCTCTTCTGCTTCCCTTGGCTTCTGCTCAGACTTTTCGTTGGGGCCCCTGCCCAACACCAATGGTACAGCCAAACTTTGAACTAAGCAAGGTAGGACTATATAAATATATAGAATCTTAAATATATAGTTCACCCCCCCCCCCCCCCCCCCCAAACCCCCCCCACCCCCCCCACTTCAAATACAAATGCTCTTCTTTGGTTTGGCTTGGAATGACATGAGAGTGAAAAAAATAATGACAGAATTTTTCTTTTTGAGTGTTCTTAACATTGTACTTATATGAGCTCCTTTCATTTCAAGTACCTTGGAAAGTGGTATGAGATCGAAAAGCTCCCAGCATCCTTTGAGAAAGGCAAGTGCATTGAGGCAAACTACTCGCTAAGACCTGACAACACCATCGAAGTTCTCAATGTTCAGACATAGTGAGTAATTTATAGACCGAATCAAGTCTTTTGACTTCTAAATAGAGTTTTCGTCACAATCATTTATCCATGTGTTTATATAAAACAGCAAAGGAAAAATAAGAAAAGCAGAGGGCACAGCAGTCGTTCAGGACAAGAGGGAGCCAGCAAAGCTTGGAGTCAGTTTCTCCTACTGTAAGTCCATCAATGTTTTCAAATCTAGAACATAACAATCTCTTTTCTATTGTTTTCAAGTGTGAAAATAAAAATCACTTTCTGTGAAATTCTTTTTCAGTCACACCCTACGCCCCATACTGGGTCCTGTCCACCGACTACAACAGCATTTCTCTTGTTTATTCGTGCACTGATGTTCTCAGGCTGTTTCATGTGGATTATGCCTGGATCCTCTCACGCTCACGCATTCTGCCCGCAGAGGCCGTTTACCACGCCAAAGAGATCTTCTCACGTGACAACATCGACGTGAGCAAAATGTTACCCACAGATCAGCAAGGATGCGATGGTCCCTTTTAAACAGTGAAAACTGAAATATGTAATTTTGGTTCAGAAAAGTTTGTGCCCTCACTATCTCTATTATGAGTGAAAACGGCTTAAATTATCATTATAAAACTACTCCTGTTGCATAAAACTGCTGAACCCAGCTTGCAATATATTGCTCTATACATATATTTGCACCTCTTGAAAAATAAATAAAAGCATAACCTTTTGCCAATGAAGTTTCTGGTTATGAATTTCTCTGTCATCTCATTACTGAATAATGATTTTAATAAACAGGTGTTCATTTTGTGAATAAACTAAAGTCCTGTCTGTTCTGCACAATTTGATATGTGCATTGGTCCTCAAAAGTGTATTTTCTATGCCTTTTGGAATGCTTGGTGTTTAGATTTCTATTGGAATATTAATGGTTTAAAAGTGGAATTGTGTTCTTGGAATCTAATGTTTTTGTTGTTGTTGTTTATATGGAATATGCATAAACAAACCTATTTGATTTGAAATGCATATCATAGATGGTCTTGAGTGGTTTCAATGATGTAGATCTAGTTTGGGAGGGGACAAAACTTTCCTGAACTCAGCGTGAAGTCCGTGCAGAACCTGTGAAGCACAAAATCTTTTAGCTCGCAGAAACTGCCGGACCTCGTACAATCAGTGCAGCAAAGGAGGTAATGTTGTTTATTTCCAACACAATTATGAAGGATGTGTGAATGTAGTATAGCAAAATGTAGTTTTTCAATGCTATATTTTAACCATAATTGTAATTAGTAAAAGTGGGTTTTGTTTTTCAGGGAAAGATGAAGTGGAGTGTGCTTTTTTGGGTTTTCTTGCTGTGTTTTCTTGCTAATAATCTCAGCAGTAAGTAGTGTATATTCCTCATATAACTATCTCTGGACATTGTAGGCTAGATATTTGCTTTGAAAGCTACTTCATGATTTTCAGAATATGAGAATTAAAAAAGATTTTAATAGACATACACTTGCTATTTGTCAAATAAACAATCTGGATTACATGTTTAAAGGAAACCAATGAATTATCATGTTAATATTAAAAACACTAAAGACCTGAGCTGTGTTCATCAGGACAAGTGTGCACATAGTTAGGAATAATATTTGAGAAGGAAATGCACACATTTCTTGAATCCCTCAGGAGATCCTCAGTTCTCTATGCCTGAATCAGCTCTTTGTAAGGGATTTCATTCACTCTTCCTCTAACTTTCTCCTTCCACAGGTGCCAGATTCATTCCTGAAGGGGGTAAACAGTCTATTTATCATTTTGTTTACACACCTTTAGCCTGTATATAACCTACAGTATTAATAGTAGCATTTAAAAAATACACAATGAAGCTTTTGTTTGAACACATAATTGGATTGTATGAAATGTTGATGCTGTTCATATTAAGTGTATTGTTGTGTTTGCCAGTCTGAGGATACAAAGAGGCACATTTAGACATTACTTCTGCAGTTACACATCATCAGGAATTCTGGAATGCAAGAATTCAGCAGAAATACACAAGCTCTATTTTTCTTTCTCTCACATAGTACCCTATGAAAAGCCCCCGGCTGTGCCCTACTGGTCATATTCCACCTCAGATTTCTGGAACTATGTGGAATACTTCCGCAGCATTGGGGCCTATGAGCAGATCAATGAAATGGCCAGAACATTCTTCGCTCATCAGCATCTGGGAGATACGCTGGGTTATGAAGTGGCAGAGCAACATGACCACTAAGTGGATGTCATTTGTTTATCAATCATAGTTTAGTTTCTGTCACTAGAAACTAAAGATGGTTATTGAAATATTACTAAAAGCACGTATAGCCTTATAATGATGCATCTTTTGGCATATTACTATTAATAAAAAGGCATATGATTCACCGTTTCATTGTAATGTTTCATTAACAGCTTCAGAGTTCATGATTGTGATGTATATCATATATAGGAAATGTAAGAAATAAAACAAAAGTGTCATCCCGATTCACAGAAATTATTTCAATACCTTTGTTTAAACACTACAATAAACTGTGGGGACCAGTTCTCCAACCGAGCCAGCAGGACCTGTTTTCCAGCCGGTTACATTTTGATGTAACACAACTAGTGATATGAAGCCTGGAAAAATCCACGAATCGATTCCTTTGAACTGTTCGTTTTAAAGAACTAGTTCGATGCGGTTTACGGCATCATGTGGATAGCGACTTGCATATTTCATGCTCTAGTCTAGATTAGAGAGTCATGTAAAACCACATGTAGCCTCATATGGCTGTTGATTTTTTATTATAATGCTATTTATTTTCGATTAGGTAACAGTTAGGTAGTGTAAGAGTGTTTGTTGTCATGTGTACTTGTAGCCATAATTAAGGTATTATTTATTTATTCCAGTCATTTAGAAATACAGTTTGCATTAATGCACATGTATTGAAAACGTTTTGTGTGAATTCAAATCGACTTTGGAAACAGGTTATTAAAAAAGATCCGACTCAAAAGAAAAATTCATTCACGAATCGGACATCGCGAATCGAAACACCACCGGAAACAGAGGGACACAACGAACGGCTTGTTTTGGTGATTTTGACAGCGAGACATCAAAAAGACATCATTTTAACATTTATTCATCGCTGTTTTATTTTTTTAAATTCTCGCGCTGAAGTTATGAAGCCAGCAGTTGATGAAATGTTTCCCGAGGGAGCTGGTCCGTATGTGGACCTGGATGAGGTTGGTGTTTACAGATGGTTCTCAGTACGAGATTCTGTGAAAGACGTGTATCTTTAAGTTCACATACGCTAAGAAATACCATACCGGCATATGTGATCGAACAGATTTATGTGTCGTTTCATTTAAAGCTGAATACACCACAGCGTAACGTAGCTATTATGTGTAGCTGCTAGCCAATCTTTCTTCCAGTTAGTACACAAGTCCAATTTCCTCAGATGCACACGTTATCTCATTGGTATTTATTTAATACATGTTTTGTAGATGTTTGTGGTGTATTATTTGTTCTAAAAAGTATGACCTTGTTCGTTTAAAATACATGATTGAGTAAATGTCCGGCCAGTGTGTAGTAATGCTGTGTGTGTGTGTGTGTGTTGACAGGCAGGGGGCAGCACTGGACTGCTGATGGATCTGGCCGCCAATGAGAAGGCTGTACACTCAGACTTTTTTAATGGTGAGACTCACAAACTCCATATATGACTCAATTATCTGATATACGATACAATACAATCCAATACAATACGTTGATCGATTACTTTATTTGACATGTCCAATGGTTTTTAATTACTATAAATTATTTTAATGGAAATTATATTTCCTGGGCAAGATTTGTTTTTATGTACAAAATCTACAAATGTTCAATATTTATTTACTTGTCCAGGCCGGGAAATGACTATTTTTAAATTCTACATTGAAATCAGGTGTTTTGTCAGCTTACAATTTTATTTGTATATCTCCAATCCATATGATATTTAGTATGGCACATTTTTTTGTGTTTATGATATTTATGGGTTGTCTAGTTAAATCAGGTGGGATGTGTATCCGTGTTATGTTAGTTTTATTATAGTTTTGTTGACATTTTGAATTAGCTTTTGTTTTTATATTTTTAGTTTTCATGTTAATTTTAAGCAATTTCGTTATGTGCTTTTGTCATTTTGTTAGTTTTTTTATTGATTTAAATATTCCTATTTTTTTTTCCAGTTTAATACTTGTAGTGGTTCAACTTAAACTTATTTAAGCTTTTTGCCAAGGCAACATTTCTAATTTCCGTGTAGTTTGTTTTTCAAATAATATTCATATTTTATTTTATTTTATTGCAACTTTGTCAATTAACAGAAAACCCTCATATATATATATGCACACACACATATAATATGCCTTTGTGTTTATGTACTGTATGCATGTGTGAGTGTATATGTTATATATTCAACTAATATTTATATTTTATTTCATCTTTATTTCAATTAACAAAAATGTTTTCAATAGTTTTAGTTAAGTTTAGTATGTGTATGTACTGTGTTTTGCTTCTGTGCAAAATCTTTAAAAAAACAAACATTTTTTCCTTCATTTAAATTGTTTTCTTTGTTTGCTTGGCAACATAATACTGCAAAGTGCTTTAGCATGCATACTCTACAATTTTCTTTATACATTTCCGCCTCCTCTATATACTGTTAGTAAAGGTAGTTTCAGCTTGGCACAGGATGACCTAAAAAGCAGGCAGTTAAAGAGTAAAGCAGGTATGAAGCTGAGCCCATGTAAAGTGCTTTTATTGGGCTGCCCTGGCTCCAGCGCAGCAGGTTTTCCCTCTTATGGCCCCTGTATCCTTCTGCAGCGCTTGAAGTAGCTGAACACGTGTCAGTCAGGGGCGTTTTTATCAGGGAAGCTATTATTTTTGAAAGCTTCACGGAAAATAATCCAGAGACCCCGATAAGAGCTCTCATACCCTTATTTTAGGAACACCATGTCAGAGATGGATATTTGTGCAGACTATTTGATAAACACATGTTTATTAAAAAACAAAAAGCTCTTCATATTCAGGTTAATTTGCCAAATTAAAAGTACTGTATTCATAGAGAGAAAAAAAACTTTTGTGTGTGTTGTGCTACTCCTTTACACTTCTCTTTCTCCACAGATTTTGAAGATCTATTTGATGACGATGATATTCAGTGATGAAGAGGACGGATAAGGATGATGTTCTCCATTGTATAAAATGTTCATTGTTGTGCATTTAAGTGAGTGATGTAGCATTTGTTAATTCTTCAGTTCATTAATAAACTTGTGTTCAATACAGAGTCTTCCCTTTGCCAGATGTTTCCACATTTTAAAAATCCCAGACATTCCAAGTCAAAAGTTGGAATTATTATAAACGTTTTTTTCCCTAGGCTGAAATCTGTTTCTAGCCCTGATTGTAGGTTTTTGCACATTCCTGAACACCTGTAAGTGTGCATAATTACATGTGCGATTCACTGTTAACATAAAGCACAGATGTTTTACGCGCTGACATTGACAAAAATATTTTTCTGCCTGTATATATCCGATCTCGCTTGATAATCTGTTTTTATTCAGGTTAGATGATTTTTTTTTAAAAAAAGGGATACTTTAAAGGGATAGTTCACCCAAAAATTTGGTCGTGAGGTTGAGTAAATGATGACAAAATGTTCAATTTTTGGGTGAACTATCCATTTAACTCTTAATCTGCATCACAAACAGGGTTTTAATTGTGAAAGATCACTTTTAATGTCATTCTGTGCAGTTAATTGTGGGATAATGGATTGAGCTGGTGCTTGGCAGATGTGCGTATGAAAAAAAATCCCCATGAGGGGTTTTTACAAAGTTTGCTGCACTTGGCGGTTCAGTGCATTTCGTCTGTGACACAATATTCAGTATATAGAGATTTGTTCTGTTAGCTGAAGATAACAAGAATCGTCGCTTGATAAAACCTTAATGGGAGCGTCCTCCTCCATTTACTCAGCAATGTTAAGACATGTATAGGATGTTCCCAGTTGCTAATGACAAAATGTAAACCGCAAGCATATTGGCCCGATTCTACTTAAAAACAAATTTAGATTTGTTATTGGTTCTCATAAAGCAAAAAACCCTTATTTAGTAACTGAAAGCTAATGTAAAGTTACCAAATATGCTTTTTTTGCATTCTCAATTTTGAAAGCATCTAGTTTAGGAATAGAACCTTCTAAATGTTAAACAGTTGATGTTCTTTTCTCTCCTGCTGTGTTTGTCTATAATTACAACATCTGATTGGTTGACTTGCTTGGCCAGAGAAAGCCAATGGTAGTGTTGGAAGCAGCGTGTACTTGGCCCCATGGGATGCACCTTTTTTGTTTTTAATGATCAAGGTTGGGTTTAAATTGTGGCCAGGTTCTAGCGGTGGCACAGTCGGTGTACAGGGGTGTGTTGAGACTAGTACACAAGGGGATTGACTCACCTTCCTCTTCCAGTCAGTCAGCTGTGGAGCTGAACTTCCAGGCCCAGTCGGCTGTCTCTTCAGTGGTTCACGTCGCCACATCCTAACACAGGTAAGACACAGGCTCTTATATTAAAGCGACCTTGAGTTTTCTGAAAGGCGCTATATAAAATAAACATATTATCATTATTATTATTATTATTATATGTCTGATTATAAAGCAATTGCACATTAACGATATGCAGATGTGCTCCAATTTTACTATGCTAACAGAATGCACCAAATTCTTTTTTTGCACAGTTAAGAAAGATAAGAAAATCCTTTTATAATTATGGATTTAAGAAAATATTTCAAATGTTTTGTTTCTGTTCATCTTGAAAGGTGCGTCAGCAAAAATACTGACATTGACAGGAATATGATGAGATGGTGTAAAGAGCTTGAATGTGTAAATGCAATGTTTGTTGAACTTACCTTGAAATTGCAAATGTCACAATGTCACACGGGAAAAAAACCTTCATTTTCTTTGTATACAGGCGTTTGTTACATGTAACAACAAATAATGAGCTGGTAATCGACCATACAGAGTTAATTTTTTGTCAAATTCTGTCTATATGTAAAATGTAAAAGTTTTCTTTTCCTACTTGATAAATTGACAAATGACAAATATTTTTAAATGTAGATCATAAAATGTCAGGGAGCAAAAGTAAGCTTTTTCTCATAACAACTCTCATAATCATCTTGATTGAGGTTCATCATGTTAAAGTATGGATATGAAAGCTTATGAAAATGCAAATAAATGCTTTAATTAATGTTGTTTATTCAAAGGAATCAGGAAGGTTAAGAATGGCTCGATCTTCCATCTTCCATGTGTTGCTGCTAGCAACGTTATTATTACCAGGTGAAATTTCTCAATTATTTTTTCATGTTAATAAAATCTGTTCTGTGGTTTTCCTGATAGTTTTTTTATGTATATATATATATATAAAGTTAGGTATGAATCCTTATTTTTAGTAGTTCTATGATAAAATACCAGATCTGTTAGAAGCTTTATGACTTGTATCTTCTGACTGACATTTCCCTAAAAGTCCTTATCAAACGAGGGGGTGTCGGGTTTCTGAGTCCTTTGCTTTTTCCTCTGCAACTGATAAAATTATAAGCGGTTGTCAGCAAAACTCTAAGTGCACCAGGTTTCCAGATGTGGCAGCAGTTTACAAGCTCATAAAAATAAACTTGCTGATCCTCTGAAAGAGCAACATTTCCTTTACCTACATCAAATAAGACACTGAGATCACCTCATAGTAAACACTACACATCCGCGATCCCCTCGTCTCCATTCCAGCAGAGAAGAACGTTGGATAAGGTGTCAGTTCAGACATTTTCTGATGCTAGGATAATTAGGTTCACCTGTAGGTATATAGGCTCCTTCCCTTTGTAGATTTTATAGCTTTTGCTTGTATGAGCCCAGTTACTGCAGCCCCCTGCCAGGCATCAAAGTGCTGATGTGCGCTGTTTGAAGATTAATTTCCTACAAACCCCTGTATATTACCACCTTCCCTTCCCCCACACAACTTGTAAAACTGCATCCTGCTGCCCTCAGCTCATTGGGTCTTTACTGTCTGTAAGCATTTCCTACTCTGTCTTTGACAAAGGCAACATCTGGTTGAGACTTGGACCCCCTAATTTTTTTCTCTCTACTCTTCTTCTTTATCAGAGCTTCTGTTGGCTGGCCCTGTGACCCAGCGTTTAAAAGGAGACGGTAAGTATGGCTTGTTCTCCTGTTCTGTCAGTCTTTATTGAGTCTCAAATTCAATCCATATATCTGTTGTATAGCTACAGTATATAATCTGTGTGTGAATGTTAGATATGTACAATTAAATAACACATAATGTTTCTGCCAGATGGAAGCGATGAAAAGGCAGGCGTTGAGGCAAGCCCAAAGAGGCTAATCCGCAACAGGAGAAACATCAGTTGGTACAAGCAGCACTCTGACTTCTGGAGCTGGTACAAATACTTCACTGACAATGGGAACCAAGAGGGAGTGAGTACAGCATATTGTGAACTAAACAGGAAAACACAGTACACCTGCAGGACCTACAACAACCGTTCATAGTTTTTGCATAGATTAATCTGAGGAATGCCCAATATAATCGGTACCTTGCATATCGGTTATTGGCCGATATCTTTGAATTTATCAGTAACAACCAATGGTTTTTAAACGTGCATGGTCGTCGTGCAGTTTTACATTTAGATTGCACATTTTGCCATCTTCTGATGCTCACTAAAAGTTATATTATTAAATCATTAATCATTTAATAATGTCAATTTTAGAAAATCTGAAAATGAATAACCATTTTTAATTCTTGGTTGGGATGTCTATATTCACTTGTTTTTAGTGTTTTATTTTTATTTTATCATTTGTTTTTAATTTATCAAAAAAAAAAAAAAGAGTAATTTTTTAAAAAATATCGGCCATTTATCGGTTATTGGCCATCACGTGAAAATACTTACTGGAAATTTAAAACTATAAAAAGTTAGGGTATGATTAAGGCTACTTATGTATTTTATGTTGGTTGTATAATCCAAGCAGTAAATCAAGATCATTTGTTGTCAACTTTCAGGTTGCAGAGCTGGATCGCGTTTATCTGGCTTACTTGCAGAACAAGAATCGTGCTGAGTCACGCAGTTCCTACAAGTTGTACCTGCAGCACCTTGGCGACATCTACAAGTCTTGTGCCGAGTCTGATGACCCAAACTGCGTGGCCTCGTACACCAGCAGACCCAAGCCCAAGGCTGAGGCACCAGCGCCTGCCCCTGCCCCAGTCAAGTCTTGTGACCCTTACAGAGACCCATATTGCATGCACTCGAAGGGATACTCATATTACCCCTACTTGGCTCCGGCCCCAGCTGCTGTCAAAGCCCCTGCACCTGCTCCAGTGAAAGCCCCAGCTTATCTCCACACCCCTGTGGTGAAGGATTCACGTTCCAGTTACTACTACTACTCTCCGTTGGTGCAACCCTTCCTGTCAGCTGAGAAGAGAGCTGAGTTGTTGCGCATCTGTGATGCAGAAGATGTTGAGTGTCTCCAGTACCACCTCCGTGCTGCTTACGGATACAAGCCCGCTACTGCCCCGGCCCCATCCTACGCCCATCTCGGCTGCGACCCAAAGACAGATCCTCACTGCGTACCCCATCTGGCCCAGAAGGCGCCGTCTAGTCTGTATCTGCGGTATCCCCATTGTGACCCTCGGGTTGACCCATACTGTGCTTATGCTGCTGCTCTGGCATCCTCGCAGAACCTCGAAGCCCCACCTTCTGGTTTGGAGAGATCCTGCAACCCTCTCTATGATAATAACTGCAACCCTCTGACAGCCACAAGGTTTGGAAGCTTGGCCTCTGAAGATCTGAAGGACGAGCCCGCCTCCGAAGCCGGCGCCATGCGGGTACCTCCGAGCCCTCGCCATGACCCTTACGCCATGTACCGAGATGCATCTGCTGGGGCTGACCTGCGAAGACACCTGCCTACACAGTTCCAGCCTCCAAGGCACCAACCGGAGGAAACTCAACATCCTTTGGGACCTCGCGGGAAGACCAAAGAGGGATATGACTGTTTCATCGGGTATGATGCAGAGTGCTTCCCACTGGGTTCTCAAAACGAGCCCCGTCGTGCTGTGCACAGACAGACGTCCTACCCGGCCGAAGCCTACGAGCCTCACCTGAATGCTGATGGATCCAGAAATGGGGTGGTCGAGCCTGATCCCGACTGCGACCCAGAGTACGACAGAAACTGCCGCTTGCGCCGCTACGAGGCGGCCGAACCCGCTAGTCCATCACCACAAGAGGAGCATCCTGCTCAGGAGCAATCCCATGAGGAGGTCCCCCACCATCGAGTAGAGTCCTACCCTGAGACCCCAGGCTATGACCAGCAGCAATACGAGCCCTACATGAGTGGACAAGAGGATCCATATGCAGGATACGACCCCCAGGAACCAGGAGCGACTAGTTTTCAGGATGTCCTGAGAGGATATGGTGGTCGGTATCCTGGCCAGGATGACCACCGTGCCTACAATGGAGACTACAGAAATAAATAAATCCCTGTGACAATGTATGCCAAAAATAGTAGATCAGGACAGAATGTGTTTTTTGTAGATAAACATTGAAATGCACACTTAAGGTGCACATAAGTTTTACAGGATTTCACTTGGTTCACATAATATTTCCGAGAGCTGCTGAAATTTCCTAGCTCTGGAGTTTGACAGCACTTTTATAGGGATTTTTGTTTTGTTTCTTACTGATTCTTTACGCCCATGTAACCTGGTTGTGTGTCGCAGCTTCTCTAGGAGATTGACTGCTCTATTTTCTAATGGAGGAGCACTCTTCCTAGCTCTTCATATCTTTGTGGAGGGAAAAATAAGCCAAACAAAGTGTATAAAAGATCAATAGTGTACTTAAATATCCTGTAATCATGATCACCTCTCCCATTTTGGTTAGATTCACCAGACAATCTCCCTTCAAATTAATATTTAATGAACTTCTGGGCCCTTGCTTATTTGTATTCTTTTTTAAATTGATGCTTTGTGATTTGTTTGCATATTTGTAAGATGTTTTTCTTTGAATGTTTCAAATAAAAGCTTTAAAGATCTTGAGCTCTTTTTATTAGCAAACGTATGATTATTACTGACAAACAACCTAATTTAACAAACAAATAGTTTTTCAATTTAATACAAATAAATGAAATAACATTCTTTTTTTTAAAGGCTTTTGGCAGAATTTTTTAAATTTTGATTGGCCTATCATACAAGTGAACTAGAATGCCACAACTCCTATTGTCATTCACAGAGCAATGCAATAAACTTATTATGGACACTTTTTCATTTATTTTCAGTAAAGCTGCTTTGAAACGATTGCGAAATGTGAAAAGCGCTATACAAAAAAATGTCAACTGAATTGAATGGAAATTGACATGCACACACTCAAAAATAATGAAATAGCCTGCACTAAATTAGCATACAAATCCATATTTAATAGCAGTCTTATAATTTGCAGGATTTTTCAGTTAACTGCTTTGGGAGTTTAGAGAGATGCTAAATCATTCCATAATGAAGAGGTTTCTTCAAATTCTAGAACACAGTTAAAGTTGTGACAGAAACCGCCTAATTAACATTAATAAATAGAAAACAGCTGTGAAGCTATTTTGGTTAATTAAAAACAATGGTATACTAACAGCGATTAAAGAGTTCTACAACAAGATCGCACGTATTTTACACCCCAACACACATTCTAAACAAAAATATAATTATAAGGTCATAGCTCAGCATGTATGATGACATATACTGACCTTGAACTTTGATTAAAATATCTGCTATGATGATGTGTGCTAAACTACACTGCTGTATTGAAAGGAAGCCAGTTGGCTAGATGTGATGTTTAGTGGGTGGGCAGGCAGACTCCCTGTGATCTGGCCTATAAATCTAAAATTGACAGGGCTTATGACAGTATATATATATATAAAACGCACTGCAAATAATCTTTGCATGCTGCATTAAACTGTTCAATGAGATTAAGTGAACATTTGGATACAGATGGTGTCATCGTCTGCGGTTGTCAAATGGGTTGCTTAAGATTTTAGGAGTCAAAAGGAAGCCAGAGAAGGTGGAGTCATTGTTGACATCAGCATAAATCCCTGCATCAAATATGTCATCATACAACTGAAGCCAAACCTCATCTCCAGCAGACAGATTTAAAATCATCCCTCCAGACGCCTGATCTAGATTTCCGTTGTGGAACTGGTCAAGAGTGAAGGCCACAGTCCGGCCATTTTGGAACATCGCTACCTTGGTCTCCTTCCCGTTGATAGTAAGGTGATATGTGAAGTAGTAGATCCCAGGGATTGCACAGCGAAACTTTCCAGAGATGTCATCGTAGTGGTTCTGCTCATTGTAGAAGGTCTTTGTAAAGCGGATTGGAGCTCCACTAGCGGGGCTGATTTTACCTGTAAGTCCCATGCTAAAAGCCGAGTGGTAGGGAAAGGAACCCTCTCCACTTTCTCCTTTCAGACCTGGGTTTCCAGGAAATCCTCTTTTGCCTGCACATCCCTCGTCCCCTGGTTCACCTGGCTCTCCATTTGGTCCCTTGGAGCCTTGACAAAGATAATTGAAGAGACTTATGCCACATTCACACAGCAGTAGAATATGGTTGTCAGTCCTGTATTTGAATCCTTAATACGGTTACGTTCACACACAGTTCAGTTATTTACGGGAGTGAGAACTAACCAAACTCACACCTGTAAATATTCAGGATTCACAACTCACATTCTCGGAAAACATGCACTGTGTGAGCGGAACACCGGTCTGGACAACTATAGCTGTCTGTCACATCATACAGCAGAGCCACTCTGCACAGCACAAATGCATGTCTAACGTGTGTTGCGAGTTTTGTGTGGTTTTCGGTAACCTACAGTGACTGAGATATGAGGGTTTTAGATCACCGTTGTCCACCGGAGCTGCTCCCGTCAGTTTTGTGTTCTATGCGTGTGCTCCACTCTCCACCCAGATATAAACACCGCCGATATGGCTACTGTTAAGAAAATTTGGGCTTGACTCCCATTGCGCATTCATGCAGACAATATTCGAGACGCTACTGTAAGCTGCTGTGTGAAGTGAACGGGACAATTTGAGACTCGCACACCTGTAAGTAAATGCGGTTGTCATTCCCAAAATCTGACAGTGTGAACGTTGCATAAGGTGTTTTTTTTTTGCAGACAAACATTTTCTCTTGTTAACAGAAGAGTCCACAAAGGTATATTCACTCACAAATTATTTTTAGTGTGTTTCTCAGGTTTATGTTGCGGGTCAATTTCGATTTTTTAGTTGTCAGAAATACTGGTTAACCTGTGATGTTTTTGTTGAACTTTTGTGACTTTCTCATTTCGGGTCATGAACATGCCTTGCAAATGGTCGACACTGTGATTTGTTGTGTTGATAAAGGTTATTTAGTGGCATTGATGGTTCCATGAAGAACTTTTAACATCCATGGAACCTTTCATTCCACAAAAAAAGGTTCTTCTAAGAACTGTTCTGAAAGGTTCTTTGGGGTATCCAAATGGTGGATTCCTGGAGCCCTGGAGCCTGGAGGGCCACTTTCCTGCAGAGTTTAGCTCAAACCATGAACGAACTCACAATATTCTAGTAACTCTGAAGACCTTGACTAGCTTGTTCAGGTGTGTTTGATTAGGGTTGGAATTACCCCCCCCCCCCCCCCCCCCCCCCCCCCCCCCCCCAAATGTTCTAAAATAAGAACATTTGCGTTTTGTAATGTAAGTTCTTTTTCAAGTACCCATTTACATTTACTGTATGTATTTTGACGGATGCTTTTATATGTTTGTTTTAACCTGATTTATTTTTTTACCCAATTTATTTGTCTGTTTTTCATAGTGTGATTTTCTGTGAACTGTAGGCCTATTGGAACCAATTAGTGTCTATTTTGATATTAGACATTAAAGTGTGGTTTAAGTGTACTTTTCACGGACACTTAATACTATTAGGAGTCCGCTAATGAATCACCTGGATCTCCGATATCTCCCTTGTCCCCCTCATGCCCATCACGTCCATCCCGCCCGGGAATTCCATTGAACCCTGGGCTTCCAGAAACACCCCTCATCCAGCGGGCACAAGGTTCCCTGCTGTCCTTCTCAGCCAGCTCTGTGTTCTCCTCCTGAGAGACGCCCAGTCTGGCTGCCATTATCACAAAAAGCACAGCTATCCATGCACTCTTCATCGCAAGAGCCATGTGATCAAATCTGTTGTGTTACAATGAAAAAGCATTTAGAAAGCATAAACATAAATTTCAGGAATAGAAAAGCATGTCTTGTCCTACCTGGCCATCAAAAGTGTGTCCTTTACAGTGTTTTGTGTGGAGTGAGCTTGAGCTGTTGTCCTTTTGCCTTTTAAAATCTTGTGTGCAAGTCTCCTCTGTGCTTGTCACCCCTAAAAATATCTGACTGGACATGCAAAGCAGCTGTTGGTATTAAACAAGCGGTCACTCTATCACATTCAGATAAGACAGTGTGAGTTTTCTATATTTATTGTTGTCGATTGATTAATTCCTGCTGCCTGCTAGTCAGTTTAATGCACACTTGGCATGGATAACTTATAGCTTATCTGATTGCTTTTGAAGCTTTTTGAATATTATGAGGCGTCTGCTTATTTCAGGAGGGAGATGGAGGAGATGACTGTCTGTTAAACTGGTAAGACCCATTTAGTTTGGAATCTAGCCATACAATTCACCAATACAGCTGAGAAAAGGGAGAACTTCTGTATCTAATCATTGGGTGCCACCTTGTGGCTAATATAAGTATCGTTACTTATTTATAGAAAAGCTGTGTACATGAGACACAATTTATTATTGGAAGCATATTATAATGATTTCTGAAGGATCACGTGATACTGAAGACTGCTGAAAATTCGCTTTGCCATCACATGAATTAATTTAAAATATATGTAAAATTGTTACTTTGTTTCACAATATTGCTGTTTTTACTGTATTTTTTATTTTACAAAAATGTAGCCTTTGGTGAAAAAAAGAACTCAAAATTTGAAACGGTAGTGTGTGTAGCCTATATATATATATATATATATATATATATATATATATGCACACATTATTCATGAAACAGTTCTCTATAACAAAAAAACGATTATTATACGGTAGATTATTAATCACAACTACATTTAAATGTAATTCTTTTGTTTGAAGCACTGTCAAGGTAGGCTGGGTCTAGAATCAAAACGCTACCTCATTCTTTGATAATAAGGTTAGCACAACCGAGCTTAACGGACATGGTAATTTTATCATAATGCATAAGCTATTATGTAGTGCATGAGTCTCCAGGTCTTTATAAGGACTCTCAGAGTTAATTAGACGCTTCATTAAAACATGAAACTATTAAGTTCTCCATTCTCTGCTCTTCCCATCTCAGTTGTCCTGTAAAAGGTCAGTGTTCATCTCACACAGCTCCCTATGCACCACCTGACACTTCACTGGACTAATTGTATAGCTTGTACTGATTATACAATGCCAACATATTTTGGTAAAAACAATGTTTTACTGAAATGTCATGACTATGAATAATCCTCCTCTTTCACCTTTGAATCAGCACCATCGATCTACTACTGTGTTTGTTTAAGCCAATAGGTGTGAGCACAATGAACACATTAGTTGTGGTGAGAGCAGGAATAGACCGTTCATTTTAAATTTTATCAATAATTGCTCATAATAGGTCAGTCATACCAGTCAGTCATACATACACAGGGGGTTATTAACCCTATAAAGCCTACTGTATCATATTTGAAACACAAATTTCTCGAAATGAAGGCCTCAAAACTATCAACATGATCAAAGCTTTGCTGAAAAAAATTATTATTGGGTTGTATGCATTATGTTTTGTCCCCCACAATAAAAATCTTTGATCATCAAACTAAGCATTTAAATTACTTCATTTTATGCAAGTAGTCTTCTATACTATTATAAAGATCTCATTGATTTACATTAAATCATCTGACGGTTTGGCCACATAAATATCAGCAAAATTGCAAATTTTTTGCTCAGTTTGGTCCTCTGAATAAAAGGTTTTTAACAGTGACAGTTTTTTCTCAGTTTTTTCTGAGAATCAAAAATCATTTTTTTCTCGGGTGGACAGTAACAAAGTAATTTTTTGAGTATCTGTACTTTACTTGAATATATTTTTTTTCTGGAAACTTTTTACTTTAACTTCACTACATTTGAAAGACAAATATCGTCCTTTTTACTCCACTACATTTCTGTCAAGGTCCTTGAGTAGAAAGTAGTAACATCAGTCAGGGGATACTTTTGGTTGCAGGGGTTGCATTTTGGTTTGAAATTAAAGTCGGGTTGACGTCAGAACCCAACGTCGGATTGACGTTGGATTTCGGTTGGAAATATAAGTCGGGTTGATTTCTGACGTCAACCCGATTTTCATTTTCAACCACAATACAGCGTCTGTCTAACGTTGGAGATTAACATCAATCTGACATTAGATTCTGACATCAACCTGATTTTCATGTTGAACGTTGGGTTTGGTCTTCCAAATGCGAATTTTCTCATTGTTTTGGTGCACACTAGCTTAGATAACAGTAAGGCTAACATATTCATAAAAGCCTAAAACACTTTAAATAGGGCACTATTTGAGGGAACAGCCATTTGGGTGTCCTAAACCATTGTGGACGTTATTGAGTGCACTTATTCAATCTCACATTCAATCCCACTACTGGAACTGTGTTCTAGAAATAAATTTGATATTGATATGAGGGTAGGAAGGCAGGCATAGATTCGGAGGCATAAGGTACTGTAAGTATTACAACAATGAAACAATAATAAAACAATGCATTGACATTTACTTTTTACTTTTGATTTTAAAAACGAGTACTCCTGTACTTCCACTTAAGTAAAAATCGGTCTTTACAACTTTTACTTGTAACGGAGTAATATTTGACCAGTAGTATCTGTACTTTTACTAAAGTAAGGTCTGTATACACACACACACACACACAGGTCACAATCAACAACCTGATCAACTCTATGCGAAGGAGATGTGTTGCACTGCGTGAGGCCTATTTAGAGTGGCCTTTTATTGTAGCCAGCCTAAGGCACACCTGTGCAATAATCATGCTGTCTAATCAGCATCTTGATATGCCACACCTGTGAGGTGGATGGATTATCTCGGCAAAGGAGAAGTGCTCACTAACACAGATTTAGACAGATTTAGAAAAAGTCTTAGATCTTTAAGTTCAGCTCATAAAAAATGGGGGCAAAAACAAAAGTGTTGCGTTTATAATTTTGAATTATACATATATAATTCATATTTCTTCACATGTCAGGATTTACAGTATTAAGGAATGCTTGTACTCGCTGCTTTCTAGTGTTGACAATTTTGGTGTGTACAAAAAAAGGGAAAAGTAAGTATTTGCAAAATATGCAGATTTTGACATAAAGACCTTTGATACATAATGACTTGGTAAAGCCATTTAAATATTAGCAATGTAGATTTAGAGGAGCATTTTAGAGCCGTTTTGGTACATAAGTTTTATATTGTCAAAACAAAAAGAGAAAACTGGAGCATAAAATGTAAGTATTAAGTAACATGCCAAGTAATTAACCAGATTTTTTTTTACATGAAAGCACTATATTTAGTTCAGAGACCTTAAGGAGATTCGTTCTATTGAACCAGTCATCTTTTGCCAGCACAAATAACATGCATCTGCAGGGAAAGTCATCATTGAGATCATTCAGGGCACACTCACACTGAACTAATCAGAGTCAAAATGTAAACAAGTGTGCATCGATTTACCATGGAAATGAGGAATCTGAGTTTCAACCCAGCGGTTCAAAACGCACGAGGAGGAAAAGCCCTGTGAACAGCATGAATGGCATAAGGCAAACCAAATAGGCTTATCTTACCACTGCAGAGGTTTCCAATATGCCTAGTTGGAGTCATTTCGTGGCTGCTTGTTTGCAGCTCTAAAATGATTCCTCTAGAATTGGATTATACAGGTAATAGAGGAATAATACTGTGATGGGATTATTACGATTATGACAGCTTCATTCAGGAGGGGAAAATATGCAGTTACAGTTGAAAATGGGTTTTCATGACATCCCATGTTTCAAAATAAACTGTTTGAAAGTGTAACTTTCTGAGCAAGGACAAACAAAACTGAGGTAGAAAGTTGCCAAGCTGAAGTTTAAGGAAAAGTTCCCAAAGCCTGTCAAAGTCTATCTCTCTCTTATTGAAGACAGCTCAGGCAAGCTGCTAGTTAGCACAAAACAGAGCTCGCTATTGGATAAACATTAGCTGAATGACCCCTTGATCCCTTTAATCCCAAATGGGGATGAAATAATGAAAATTAGGGAAATTTCATTGAGTGCCAGTGATATTAGCGTTTGATCAAATAGCGTGTTCACAGTAAGTTCATCTTCCATACCTCTAATGATTAGCTTAATGAAAGTCTCTGTAAACTATCACTTCAGAACTCTTTACATTTAAGAGGCTTAGACATATAAGCTGACCACATTTCTGAAATGAAAACCATGGCTTTATTAGTTCAGCTTAATATATAATTGAAATTGCGAATGAAATGAATTTGGTAATAACTATGAACCACTTTTTTACATTCACATATATATGTTCTGTTTTTACTAGCAGCTTACAGCTATCAGACTCAGATAACTTCAGACATGGAGATATTTCCATTTTTATTTAAAAAAATGATTAAATAAATAAAATAGAATACATTGACTAAAATAAAATGAAATCACTCAAATGAAAATGATTTGTTTTTTTAATATAAAAATAAAATTTAATGTGCATTTTAGCACATTAGGTTATTTCACTTCATTTCAGTATTAAGTGATTATTACACTTTATTATTTCACTGAGACAGTAAAAATGGGGAAAGGACATCTTCACCTGTGGACAAGCAACCAAAAAGGGGAAGCAAAGATGTCTGATCGCTCTGACTATGAGGAAGGCAACTGTGCTGGTTTTTAATTAAGATTTATGGCAGGATGGCAGATCATTTCTCAAAGTCCAGATATTAAGTTCATCATTTGGAAGAAACATCATTCAAACACCGGAGAGCAGAAGAATATGAATCCACTATAACTCCCTGGGTTGCTCTTCAGTATTTAGGGGATATTAATTACAGTTCATTATGTGGGAGGCTTCTTGAATGCATGACTTACAAACACATTTTAAACACACGCTGTGATAGATGTGGATGCTGCTTTAAAAGCACCGATGGGTCACTAGAAGCACCGCTAGGATTTGATTGCTGGGATATGAGGCCATGGGCAGATCTTCTTTTGCCCTTAAAGCACATAAATCATCATAAAAGAGAGTAACTCTGACTGACAAGTTGGAAAATTATTAGATTTGTTTATGATGCTGCATGAACATTTTATAAAAATACACTCTTGCACAAGCCTGCATATAAATAGTCTCGCATAGCAGACCTTCAGACTGACAGCAAAAGGTCTGGACTTCATAGCAGATTTTATTGGCTTATACGTTTTCATTGTCACAGTTGTAAACACAATGGCTTGCCTCTTCCATGAGGGGGTTTGGCATCACAGCATCTTGCTTCCATGCGGACCATTAAAGAACGTGACACACTCCCGGACATATTGTAGAGTTCAACCAAT